AGAGGGAAAAGGAGGAGAGAAAGAGATTGGAAAAGGTGAAAGAAGAGATGGAGAGAAAGGGAGAGGGAAAAGGAGGAGAGAAAGAGATTGGAAAAGGTGAAAGAAGAGATGGAGAGGAAGGAAAGAGAAAAGGAGGAGAGAAAGCGGTTGGAAAAAGAGAGGAAAGAGAGAGAAGAGGCAGAGAGGAAAGAGAGAGAAAGGCTGGAGAAGGAACAGGAAGAGACAAGAAAGAGGCTGGAAAAGGAGAGAGAAGAGATGGAGAGGAAGAAGAGAGAAAAGGAGGAGAGAAAGAGGTTGGAGATAGAGAGGAAAGAGATGGAGAGGAAGGAGAGAGTAGAGGCAGATAGGAAAGAGAGAGAAAGGCTGGAGAAGGAACAGGAAGAGACAAGAAAGAGGCTGGAAAAGGAGAGAGAAGAGATGGAGAGGAAGGAGAGAGAAAAGGAGGAGAGAAAGAGGTTGGAGATAGAGAGGAAAGAGATGGAGAACAGGCAGCGGGAGGAGAGAGAAAAAACTGAGGCAGAAACAAAGCTAAAGAGGGAAAGTGAGGAAAGAAAGAAGGAGGAGAAAGAAAAAGAGGAGAGGAGAAAGACGATGGAAAAGGAGAAGAACAGAGAAGGAGATAAAGAGGGAGAGACTCCTCTTGGCGTTTTAAACGATCAATCAAACAACTGGCCGCCACTGAGGGAGGCAGAATTAGATGATATTGCATATGATGAGAGGCTGCAGGTTAATGCTGAAGAATTGGTCTGCAAATCTGATTCCAAACTAGCGAAGGCAGTGATCCCTAAAGCTGAAAGCAGTTCAGTTTCAACCAAAGCACCTGCTTCTGTCCAGGCAGCCAAACCAATAAACATTACGTCTGAGGACTCTGTTAGAGCTGCTAAGAAAGCGATGGACAATCCTGGTCTGAGATCAGCGAAAACAGGCACATCCCATCTTAAACATGCCGCCATCCCCGTGTGGCTGAGAGAGGAGGAGGACGAGGAAATAGAGTATGAGAGAGGACAGGAGGATCTGGGCTCCGTCTGGCTGGCTGAGCTGTACATGGAGGGGGAAGCAGGGTGAGTAAGAGGCTGTGGGAGGGATAGATAACAGCGGGGAGGGGAGAGAGGTGAGTAACTGGGAGAGAGTTGGCTATATGAGAGATATCTGCTTGTTGTGGATTTAGAGTTCTGTGCCTGTAGTGTTTTTTGTGTACAGTAACCAGACTTTAACCGACTTTGTCTGCAGGGAAGCTGTATTTACTAAACTTCACTACCCTTCGATTAATGAGGGTTTGGCCTTTTCCTGCAAGTCTTTGTCAAGAAAGTGTGTGTTGGCATGCGAGTCATGTCCGTCTCCTCCCAAAGAACATCGTTACTGTGTTGTTTTGACGGAAACTGGGACACATTTTACTCTGGTTATGACATTTACTACACTGTCGGGGGGACACGAGACAAAGATACTGCGTGTAAAGAGAGGGAAGTTACTATTAGCTATTTGAGAGCGCAAAATGACAGAGTGAGGCCATTTATGACCTTCATCACACCTCTACTGATTTATTTTTTTTAAATCTATGACATATATTCTAAAATGTTCTAATGTAAATAATTATGGTTTTCAATTATTTTTATGCAAAAAAAGAAAAGTTGAAAACTCATCTCCACCAGTTGAGCTGTTTTCATTTGGGCATTAAGTATCTCCCTCAAGGCCTCTGCAGCCGTTAATCTTACCATGCCTGGCCTGTTAGCCATGATTCACTGCAAAACATTAAAATGCGGTAATTGGAAGTGGAAAATTACAATAAAAGCAAAGCCTATAATGTTTTTTTTTTTAAATTATAAATGACCCCACTCAACTTTCCATTATCCTCTCCACACTAATCGGCCAATTCCTGTAAAAAAACATAAAAAATTATGGGAGAAGTAGACTGAAAAATGAATGGTAGGAAACATCTTTCCAATTTAATATATAATAATGACACACATAAATATATGACTGGGGTCATGAATTATCACACTTAAAGGTTAATGTAGTTGGCCTGTGATTTGCCTGCCAAAGTACTCTAAGCCTCGTAGCAGCTGGCAATTTGGTTAAAATATGTCACTCTCCCTTTTCAGTCATGACTCACTGTGACTTACAATTTCTGATCCGATCTCCAATGCCCAAATAAACTTCAATAAATACAACTAAAACTGCTTTTAATTACAGAACTTGCCTGAAATGATCGTTCAATATTCATAGATACATTGCTCACAGGAACTGCTAATAGCTAATTTTCTTGTATATGCATGGAAATAAACGACAAAAAATCACTCTAGTTGCTGTCTGTGCACATGTGCAGCAGTACTGCTGCAAGCATGGGAAATGCGTCGGTCTGCGTAGGATGTACCTGCATCTATTGTGTTTCTGTCTGTGATTGCACTATTTACACAAATAGCTTCTTAAATTTGTTCAGTAGCAGCTCAGTAGCATGTCTGGTAGCATGGACGAATGGAATTAATTGGTCATTGGATGCCGCAGTTCAGTCGAGGCTGGAGCACGTTTGAATCTGATGTTTCGCTTTGGTCGAGTGAACCACTTGTAGTTCGGTGTAATCTCACATAGCCAGATCTCTGTTCTGTTCTGGGAGTCTTGGGGAAAATCTTGTCCAAAAGACTCCAAGTCAAAGCCTTGAGACAAACATGAGCTCAGCTGAGTGTGGAAAAAGCCCTATAAGGAACGCCAGCGCCATTCTCTACTTTTAGTAAGTTTTGTGCTTGAATATCTTCCAACCTTTATGAGATGGAGCTCTGGCTGTGTGAGATGAGTGGTGGTATGTGGCCGGAGGAGAGTGGGGCATGACAAGGCTGGTTGAATCTTTGGTTGGTCAGTTGTGTCAAAAGCACATCGGTTCAGCTCTGAAATCTCATTTTCTGTCTTCAGCCCAGGACACCCCACTCCTGTAATGGAAAAGCCCTCCTCGCCCCCCTGCAGTGAACAAGCTCTTTACTGGAGCTCTGCTGCCAGTCACCCAGACAAACCTGAGTCCTTAACTAGTCAGACTGACAGTCCACATGCTAACCTTCCTTTAGTGTCTCCACAGACAGAAGCAGTTAGTACAACAATTATGGACAAACCTGCTCCTCAACATAATGAGGCACAAGAACAGTCATTTAAAGGACAGAGAGAAGATCATAGCCTGGAGGTAGCAGCCAATGAGGAGGGAGTTCAATCTTCGGTGGTGCCTTGGCCCCTTCCCCCAAGCACCAACACTGCCAGCATGCACTTGGACTCAAAACACACAAAGACACACACAGACATCAATAAGGTTCCAAAAGACACAAAGATAGCCACAGACTCACACAAGAGTCTTGAAATGAAGATTGAGAAAGACATGAACTACCCAAAGGCCTCCAGTTTGAATAAGGACACCACAAAGACTGACAGTCCTCAAATGAACAACAGTATCTCCAAAGACCAGCAGCTCCAAGAAGAGGAAAGACTGTTGTTGGCTAAACTTCGCCTGATGTCAGGTGATACATCTCCTGTGTCCGGCCCTCGCGGTATGAAGCGGCTCATTCCTGTCCCTGGAGACATTGACTGTGATACTATGGAGCCCAAAAGCCAGTCAGACCCCAGTAACCTTAGTGATCCCAGTCGGCACGCAGTTATTCCCTGCTTTGACGCTCTGCAGGAAATATCGCTAACTGAGACAGAAGAGTCACTGGGAGAGGAGGACGTGTAAGTCAGCATAGGCTGTAAACCTGTGCTGCTCTGTGAAAATGAAAAACAGCTGAAGCCTTGTATGTTTGGCTGTTTGACATGCAGAGCTGCTGACTTTAGATATGAGTCAGACTTTAAAGGGACTTCAACTAATTTTACTACTCAGCCTTATAATGTTTTCTATGGCTGTCAAATATGAGACATTAACCTTCTCCTGCTTTGCAAACTTGGAGTGTAGCGGTCATGAGAGATGCTTCTGTTTAATGAAGAGATGCTGCTGAATTTGATCCAGCCATGTGGAGGATCCAGAGGCTTTGGAGCAAAAAAGAAAGTCCAGACATGTATCTCTTTTCAACCACTCTTTTGAGTATTGCAGTGCAACACCTAATTACTGAAGTCCCCCTTTAGGTCATGAATATGAGTACATTAGACTTTACTTACTTGACTCCAGGAAGATTTAGCATGACTGAAATAAAGAAAGCAAGTGTTGAAATCCCAGAAGAATAAAAGAAAATAAATGAGACAGCGACAGGCAGCGTTTGTGTAACCACACAGCTGGAATGTTTCATTATTTGGCCGGTTGGAGAGCACAGTGTTGAAACGCTGTTTCATGTTCTGAGACATAGCTTTGACTTTCCTTGGCTGACTTCAGGCTTGATTGTTCAAAAAAAAAAAAAAGGCAGCTCTGATGTTGTGTATGTGAGTTTGTTGTCACACGAGTGCATGTGTAGTTTTGCTGTTAGTTGTGTTTCTCAGCTGAATGTTCAAAGAATCAGATACATAGATAACTGGGGATAAACTTGTCAAAAGAACAGCATAGATCTGCTTTGAGGCAGCCATGTTGCAAATCCAGATACAAATCTCTTAGATGCTTTATGTTTCCCATCATGGCTTCTAACATCAAGTCAGTGTTGTGATCGACTCGCTGCTCATGGTCATGCTGCAAGCTTGCATGTCTCCTGCTCAGATCTGTGAATCACTGTTGGCAATGCTGAGACTAGACCGCTAGATGATGTCATTCCTTCTTCTAGATAAAATCTGTTATTCTGTTCATCATCCACTTTTTGTCTCATCTCCTCGTAGGCGAAAATACCGGGTGGCTGACGTCCCTGACGGTGGGCAAAAGAAACCAGCATCTCTTCCAGAAGACACCAGTGACAAACGCACAAACACACACATCACTTCTCCACATCAATGTGAGATTACGACATTTCGTCTTCCTACGTTACCAGAGGAGGAAACCTCCGACCTTAAGACCCCTGAGCCTGTTCCGGTGGTCAGAGAGGAGGCTGATGGGAAGGACGACACCACTGAGGTAAATACTGTTACAATATACAACACCGACATTCACATGAACTCAAGCAGACATGTATAAAAAATCAAACATCTTTTCCACCCTCATCTTCCTCCAGGGCCTGGTGAACTCCAGCCAGTCGCTGCTGCAGTGGTGTCAGAACGTCACCAGCGGGCATCAGGGGGTGAAGGTCACAAACTTCAGCACGTCCTGGAGGAACGGCCTCGCCTTCTGCGCTATCCTACACCACTTCCACCCAGACAAAATGTACGTCATTTGTTGCAAGTTTTGTAACTGGTCCTATATTGTGGGTGCATTTTTGTATGTTTCACTTAAATACAGTCATGTTAAGCATTTAAGTTAAACCATTAATTTAAATAGTGTAATGTTCTCACTCATTTTCCCCTGCTTTTGTTCTGTTATTAGAAATTTTGACCAGTTGGACCCTCATGACATCAAGCTCAACAACAAGAGGGTGAGGAGTATGTTAATGAGTTTCATATTTAAGTCGGGGCAGTTTATTTGTGTCGCATATTTAAAGAGCACAAAATGTTGGCCAAAGTTGACCATTAAAACAAATTGCATTTCATTAAAAACAAATAAATCAGTTTAGAATCATGAAATACAAACCATTACAAAGGTAGTCTGTACCCTGGACTCTGGACTGTGTACCCAGATAAAAACTGAAATACGGTCTAAACAAGAAATGCTAGCAAATAAAAATCTGTTTTTAATGGAGATTTGAAAACCAGTGGTGAAGTTGGCAACCTGAGAGAGCAACCGGTTTGACAAATAAGCACAAGTAACAGCATTTTCTAATTAATCCTGCACTGAACAGGTAGCCAATGTAAGAATGACAGAATAGGTGAAATATGCTCTTCATGGTCGTTTCATGCACCATGTCATCAGCATTTTTTGCACTTCACTACTTTTCAGAAATCACTTTTAATGGTGTTGAAGTAAAGGGTCAAAATGCAGAGGAATTCTGCAAGAAGTCTGCTTTTTTTTGTTAGTAATATTCTGAATAGTCTGTCTTATGACCTCTGCTTTATGGATAAATACACCCAATTAATACTTTTTTTTTTTTTTTTTTTTAACTAAGCCAGGGAACAGGATATGGAATCAACTCCAGTATCTTTTTAGGGTAATATTAACTGTAAATTAAAACATTTCAAATTTCTTTTGATATGGTGCAGAGGAGCTGGGCTTGCTTATAAAAGGGCTGAGTGAAGTGCCTGCATAAACCCCAAAGCTCCACCAAGAAGATAAAGAAACTGTGTGTTTTCTTTGTGGTGAAGGAAAAAAAAGGTCTACAGAATACTTTTCGTACCCATAAACTGTGCTCATCGAGCATATTGGTGTGAGTACACTGTGTTCCAGAACCTAAAAGCGACCCCAATGAGTGTGTCAACATTTTCATTGGCTCCAAAGAAAAGTGTTAAAAGTTGGGGTTATGTCCTTAATGTGTCTCAGTCGGGCTCCCGAGAAGATTCTGTGTGTGTGTGTGTATGTGTGTGGTTTTTTCAGAGTGTTGTTTAAGCCATTGTTGTTACCTCTGTTCTAACACTCGCATCATCATCTTTTCTGACACCATCAGGCGTTCGATGGTTTCGAGGCTCTGGGCATCTCCCGTCTGTTGGAGCCGTCCGACATGGTTCTTCTGTCCGTCCCTGACAGGCTCATAGTTATGACTTACCTCAGCCAGATCCGCACACACTTCACCAACCAGGAGCTGAGTGTGCTGCAGATTGAGCACAACAGCAGTCAGTCCAGCTACGGCCTCGCCCCCTCCGGTCCTGCTCCCACCAACGTTGACGCTGCTGCTTTCTGCATGGCCAGACTCAACGAGGGAGTGAGTCTGGAAGAAGGAGGAAGCAGCACGCTCGTCGTCCCACCTCCGAGAACCAAGCGACTGGGTAAAGGTACCAGCTTCGCTTGCCCCCTGGCCTGTAAACATTTCAGCTATCTTTTTCCAGTTTTAAATTCTTATATTGTACATCTTAATGATTATTTTTTACCATGGGTGATCCTATTTATCATCACTGAATTAGGCTAAATCTGTGGGTTTATCACAACAAACTGTGCAGGTGGAGCTACAGCTCTTTATAATGTCCAAATGTATTCAGACCTTCTACGAAAGGCATGTTGGATTCCATGGAAACATAAAAATATTAAACCGGAGCAAAATAGAATCAAGTCTGGACAGTAGGAATGAAAATACGAAAGCGGAAAATATGTGTGTTTCTGGGAAATGTGAATCAGCAGAGTTTGAATCAAGAAGACAAGAAGCACAAATAAAAAAAGAATCATTGATTCAAACGCACAAAACCTCAGTTAAGATTCTAGTGGGTTTCCCAATGTTCCTAAATACAGCGGATGCTGTTGTGCTGAGGTCAGTGGAAAATGTGGATAAAATGATGCACATCTGCAGTTTTACATTTGATGGAGATGCACCAACAAACGTCATTCATGATTACAGAATAGTTATTAATATAATATTCGTAATGAACAGTAGTGTATCCAATATAGTATGAGATATGAGAGTCGTAAAGTTTAATGTTCTAACTTCAAATCTCCAGAAGGGCTCCCAACACATGAATGATGGAGTCCTACGTAAGCCCAGTATTTCTTGCCAACGTTGTGCTCATATCACTGGTTTGTATCCTGTGTTGGAAAAAAAAGGTGACATCATGTCCCCTTGTGCACTAATCACGATGCCTTAATAGTATAATTATAATGCGATGGCCGTGTTGGTGTTGTTTACTTGTGTTGCCAGGCAAGTGTTTATCGAATCTGCTGAAACTACAACCACACAGTCCTGATGAAGCAGATTACACGCATTTTTTTCCAAAATTAACTTCCATTGTGGCCAGTTTAGCCTTTAATTTTTGTAGATTTAATGTGCAACGAAAAATACTTTAATCCGGGTTTGGAACAAAGCGTTCAGAGGCTTTAAATGTGGCTTAAAGGGAATGAGGCTCAGTAAGTCCAACATTTGATTGTTCGTTTGTGTCTGTTTTTAGTGGACGATCCAATTACTCCAGTTCCACCTCCGAGGTCGGTTACCAAGGTGGTCAAATCTGGACCGGCTCAGGTGACACTTTGTTTTTTTCATTACTTCAACTGACGCAACTGATGTAATTATCCAAAACAACTTCAAAAACTCTGTTACAAATACAATGTCCATTCTCAGAGAACCCTTTAATGCCAGCTTTGCATTAGCTACACATATCATGTGTTCTTCCTCTTCAGGGTGACGACACAGTGAATAATTCTGCTAAAGAAAACACTAATAACACAGGTAGGCACCTAAAACCGGAGCCTTTCCGAGACTCAAACATTTTGCACATCTTGTCCTAATTCTTCTTTTTCCATCTCACTTTAATCCATCCTCTGTGTGTCCATGTGTGCAGAGTTGCAGAGTGTAGCGGGAACCCAGCCTCCCAAACCAGAAGAGGAAACAATGGTCAGTTAAATCTTCTTCAGTTTTTCTCTTCTCTACTTCATTCCTCTGTCTCTATCACTCTGACAGCATCATTAATGTGACTGATGGCTGCAAGCGGGACAAATCACATCTGCTGTTTTCTTTTACAAAAGCTGCTCAATTCATTATGAAAAAAAAAAAAAAAGCATTTCCAGGGTTTTGATCATTCTGCATTCACAGCTTGTATTTTCCATCCTGTTGGCCTCTCTCTAATCTTTTGACCTTCTTTTTCTCGTTTCCCCTCTTTACTTTCCAACTCCTTTTTTTCCCCCCTTTTGATCTCCTTTCCCCATTCCCCTGTCGTCGTGGCTTTCTTCCATCGTCTTGTGTATGTTCATGTGCGTGTTTGCATCTGTGTGCGTGTGTGTGTGTGCGATGGGGGTTGTGGTCAGTGTCTGCAGGACACCAGCCAGTATGTGTTGAGTGAGCTGGCTGCGCTGGAGACGGAGCAGAAGCACATCGACAGCAGGGCTGCAGTGGTGGAGAGACGACTGCGAAGCCTCATGGAAACAGGCGAGTGACACACAACATACACACACACACACACACAGTTAGATGTTTGAGTGACCGAACAGTACAGAATTCACTTAAGCAGATTTAAACCAGATCTGTGACCTTCCTCTTTGGTCTTACCTTAAACAGTCAATACAAAATGGTTTTAATTCATGTGGGATCAACAGTTTGTGTGGTCGGGGGGGATATTCCCAAGACCTACTGCAAAGGAGTTGTGGTGGCAGTGATGTGGTGTATAAATATCCACTGACAATCTGGGTCCTGTGCAACACTGGCACTGCATATAGCCATCCACATAAGTAGCAGTAAAAACCTTCCATAATTAAACATCTCATGCCACTAAAAAAAGTAAATCCTACTGATAGCGTTTTAATTTTTTTATGTAGTGGTGGAGAGAGTAATTAGTGGAAAGAAACAGGAACTGAACTCCCAAGAGTGAGGGAAAAGACGTGGCAAATAGTTTAGCCAGTCGGTAATCAAAACACAGACTTGCTGCACAAGTTATGAGCACCCATATGGTACA